CATAAAACATGATGCAGGAAGTCACTTGGTCTGATGAAAGGAGCCAGTTGTAAGAAGTCCACTTAGCATAACGGGGAAATTGCTGTATTATTGTGCTTCCTGTTCTGATTTAGGTTTCATGCACAGTCATTCCTAAAGCCAGAAAAAACAGTTCAGCTGAATGCATGATACACTAGATGCAAGTGACTCTGCTGTTCAGCAGACAGTGCTTGCCAACTCTCATGTGCTGTATCTCATCAAAGGTACAAGCATGTATGTAAATTGGTAGTATGACATACTCTAAAGACAGAGTTGACTCCCATTTGGTGTGGTTACAAGAGGGTGGGATAGGGCAAACCCCAGGCTGCATGAACGTGTGCTGGGGTGGTGAGACAAAAAGGGGTCAGCAAAGCCCTGGCCAGCATCCAGTAAGTGTAGCTGTAACTGCGCAGGCATGGCTGTCCTGCCTTTGAGTGTGGGCTCGCTCATGCGGAGCTGCCAAGTGTCCATACACACACCACAACTACCCCAGCCACCCACCCGCCCACCAGCCAGAGTTAACTTGCGGATTGCGTTTTGAATACCAGGAGGAGGGCGAGTTCTCTTGCCAATCGCTTCATGAAGTAAGAAAGATTTGAATGCTGCTTTATCGTAAGTGATTACTCTGAACCTCCCCCAGTTCCTTTCATATTGTAACTTCCTGTCATTTCATTAGTATGAAATTCTTTGTTACTCGAGATGGTAAAACCCCAATGACAATCACAGTCTATAGTTTTTTTTAAAGAGCCTGCAGTCTGATCTCTTCAAGCCCAAAACAGAAAGCCCTTATTTTCCAGTAAAATCTACAACTGGGACAAAATTATTAATTTAGTAACTTTAAGATTCCACCTCCAGATCATCACTTTACCACGAATTTTATTGAAGGATGTATTAAACAGAACCAAATTGATCCTTGCTACGTAGTCGATACCTGTAAGTGTGAAGGCCTTTTGTGAGATGTCCCCCAGTTATAGCATAGCTTGCACAGAAAAGAGATGTGAAGCTTAATGAGAATTCTGATGTGAGCGTCACTGTAATTTTTTTCCTTGAACAGTAACAGTAGCTGATTATATATCACGAGCTGAATCTCAAAGTAGACAGAGAAACCCTCCAAAGGAGACACTAGCCAAAACCAAGAAAGAAACGGTAAGATGGTATTTTTTTTTTATTTTTCTTTTTAATATGTATTTTCTATTTTATTTTCCTCATCTCTTGCAGCAGAATACTAAAGGAATGCTTTATTTAGGTAACTCGAATTTGACTACAACTTTGTTTGGGTTCAAAAATAGATCATGAAAAGCAAAAATGGCCCACAGTAGACAGAACTGTTATTGACTTACAGACTGCCATTGCAGACTTTATGCTCAGACTGAATCTTCACAGATTTTAAAATACTGCAGTTAATAATGGAGAACTGCATGCTAAAATGTGAACATTACCCATGGATAAGTCCTGAAAAGTAATCCCTAGAACACATTACAGATCGAGGATGCTAGAAAGCACGTTTAGTGACTGGTACAAACTGCTTTAGAAAGAATTAATGTTACTAAGATTGTAGATTTGAGATCTTTCTCCTTGAAGGATCAGAGTGGTGTTACAGATCATAAAAAATAATACCCAAATCAGGATTCCTTTACTCCTGAAGTGACACTGAACTTCCTGACCCAAGTTATGTCTGAGGGTAGCAAAGTAAGATCCACTGCTGTATGATTAACAATCTAATCTTACAATAGGCATTAAAAGGGGTGTGAAACTCCACTTGTCAGGTAGCTTCTCCATTGGGTTAGACAAATGAAGTGTTCTGGGTCTGCTGGGGCCATGCTGCCTCTGGGTTACCTTGCCATTGTTTCCTCGCAGTGGTGTTAGTACAGCAGTGTCCTATAAAGGGCAAGGTAAATAACAGGGTGCTGTCAGTGGCAGGGTACTAGCACAGGTGGGCAAGAGGTGTTTCCTAGTGCAGAGTTGCTGTGTGAGCCAGAGGGAAATTTAGATGACACTGTATTTTTAAGGTATTTATAATATTATCCTGGCTTTCTTTTTTCAAGGCAAAAGATGCGATTGATGAAAACAGCCCTTCTGAAAAGGCAGTGAATGGTCCTGCTATGACTTCTGGGGATGAGCCTTCTAAAGTACAGCACACTCCTGATGAGAAGAAAGTTACCGTTCAGGAGGATGGAAACAATCAGGAAGAAGCCGTGCTGAATGGTGTTTCATAAACTGAAGTCCCTAGTTTACAGTTCTTCTACATTACATTTAAAATAGTGCTTGTATAAGCTTGCCAAAGATAGAATATGGATCGCCAGTCTTGACACCGCACTTTCAGTTCCTCCATTTTGGAATACAGAAAGGGGAGGGATCCTGAAGAAATCATATGTTAAACATACTTTGACACCTACTGTGTTATAAATATATCATCAGATGTGCCTTGAGATAGTATATGTAACATTTAAATAAACAAAATTGCTGGCTATAGGAAATGTTATTTTGTTTTCAAAATATGGCAAAGATGTGAGGGGGATCCCTAACATAATACTCTTTATGAAAGCATTAGCTGCTTTTGTTACATTTTTAATAATATGCAACCACTTCTTCACCTGAGGAATACTAGAAAGAAATGCAGTCTAAAATATTTTGCACTGAAATGTAATTTCTCCATTAGTTTAGTCTGGAAACTGGTCTGTTTTAATACATGTTTTTTAAATGCTGTATGTAGAGGAAAAATCTGCAGACCACTGGAATACATTTGTTAAATTCTCATAATCTGCAGGGATACTGGGTGACATTGGCAGTGACTGTTCTACATTGAGGCTTTGTTTGGTTTATTTATTAAACTGTACAGTATTTAAAAATCAAACATAGCTTTAGTTAACACTAAGCTGAATTAGTCATGTCCATTAAGACATAACCTGAACTACTGAAAAGATCAATTTCCAGAAAGTTTATTCTGTATAAACTACATATGTTAGTCCTTAGTAGAGTATTTTTATTTTTGTTTTGGTTGTTTGATGTGCAATATGTTTTTTTTGTATGCTGGTAGTAAAATAAACTTTGATCTTCCATCTGTTGACTGTTTCTATCAGAAATTTAAATTACTTTTAAGGATTACTTTAAGGTTTTCAAGCTGTTGACACAATTGGAACTTAACTTGCAAGGCAGCTTGAACCTTTAACTCTTTACTTTTGTAAGAGTTTTTAATGTGCTAATCTTCCATTCTTTCTGGTGATTATATAAAACATCAGTGAAGTCTAAAACCAGACTTCTTGTCTTGGAGAATCACATAACCTGACTAACATATATAGGAATAAATGCAGATGTCATTTGGGATTAAGTTAGAAGTGTGACACACTAACCCATCTTCTGAGGCACGTGGCCAGGGAAGCAGAGGACACAGGCGTGGAAAAACACCTGGGTAGCAAGGAGATGGTGTAAGAAGTCAGAGCAAACATGTACCACTGAAGTTGTGCTGACTTCAGAGACAAAAAAAAACATCTTACCCGATTTTGTCAGAAGGATGAACACTGTATTCTGAGCCACCAGCAACTCCAGAGGCTGCACCTGATACAGCTGCAGAAGAGCTATGCCAGATAGGACAGGGCATGTATTTCATTTAAGGACATGTGCAGCTTTCACTATGAATTAAAGTGTTGACACTCACTGACAATGCTCCCTCCAGGAAAACAAATGCAGTTAAACAGCTGTAACTCAGCAGCCACAAGAGTGGCGAGAATTTGAAAACTAGGGAAGCAAAAAAGTGCTGTTTAAAAAGGAAGTATTAGTTGGCAAGGACAAACTTCTGCATATGGCTTGTGATGCACCTGCATGGCAGTGTTCTAGCTGTGTTTTTCACTCCACTTTAAATAAACCCTGTAGTGAAGTGAAGTTATTCTTCATCCAGATTCTAAACATTTCATACTCATGTTACTGATTTGATCCTCTCTCTCAAAGGCCTGGAACTCCTTGCTATTGTTGTCGTAATCCTTGCTAAATGGACTGTAAGGAGCAGCAACACAGGCAAAGAGGATGTGAGAGCACTTAAGCGTTGTACTCTGAAGTAGAGGTATGTTAGTGCCAGACAATTGAAAGCTCAGAAACCCACCCTATTTGTGAATGGAGGGGTGTTAACCCTTGCAGATGCTGTACAGCACAGCAGGGTTACTGTAACTGCAGAAGAGCGGCAGGATTTGTAGAGTACAGCCAAACTCACTGGCTCTAATTTGGATACTTGGGCACTGTGCAGCACAACAGATCCACCTTGGACATCTTTCATGGTTGATGTAAAGCATTCCTGTTCCCCGGTTATTATAAAGGCAAACGTTATTATGTGAATTCTAACTTTGTAAGGTAAGATAATGTATAGAACTACAGTACTTAATACAAATTTGGAATTTATTAAATGCTATAAAATCCATTAAAAACTGAAATTTACTAAGAAATCTGGGACATTCCAGACCCACTGAAGAAGCTCAACGAACCTTGTTATTCACAAGGCAAAGACAATCTAGTGTATGTTTTCCTAGATTTTATTTCTTCAGCCAGAGACAACCACATATCTGTCCAATTCTTCCCATCAAATAAATCCTCTTGGTTTTTCCACCCCCTCCCCAAACCGGTCCCTTGTATTACCTTTGGCATGTGGAAGAACAGCAGCATGAACTTTAAACATAGCTACTTTAACAAAAATTAGTTAACAGCATGGAAGTTTGGTAACATGCATTGACCAAACCAGTTACTACTCTTTTACACTGAAAATATTTGAGTGGCAGATTTTGCTGCTTAATAAAGAACAGCTATGAAAAAAAACCTGAAGTCTCGCTCACTCACACACTTACCCAAAAAGTGACTAAGAAGTGAGTGGGGAGGGAAGTACCTCCCTGAATTCATATTTCCAACTTCGCTCGTATTAAGTCAAAGACTGCCATTAGAACTTTTCTTAAGCCGTTTATCAAAAATAATCATTTGCGTGAACAAACCCTATGATTTTCTCATTTTTTAGCTTGGTCTTCCAGTAAATCTTTAGCTTCATTGATTTTGGCTGCTACATATGGAGAACCACCTAGAAGAAAGATAACCTCGTGTCACCTCAAGTGAAAAAAACATTTTCCTTCTGCATTGTTACTAATGCCACAGCACACCGGAAAAGAAGCGAGAAGGTGGTCTGAAAATTATTCACAGTGACGATCAAACTCTTACAGCTGAAGCCCTATCAGTTTACACCTGCAGGAGTCAGGCAGGCAGCTTGTTCCTGTCAGGTTGGTTTTGGTTCATTGGAGTGGGTTTTTCCTCCAGTTTTCTCAGTCATATATGAACACTGGTCACTAATGCCTTAGTGTTAAGTTTGTTGTGAACACAGCAGCATCAACCTATTAAGTCTGCAGGTAAACCTCTCCCTCTAGTTCAAGGCCAACATGTGCACCTGCAGCAGTTGACTGGTTCAGTTCTTAAACATGACATACAAATTGCTTACAATGATACTGAAAAGATAATCCACTACGCAAATGCACTGAAGTTGTACTTGACCATGAGATGCAAAGATTTATAGCGTGTTTGTAGTATGTCCGCCGTTTACTAGTACTTTTACCTGAAGTTAATTTAAGTCATGTAAAAGGTGAAATGCTCCCAGCAGTTATTGGCTAGCTGCATATATTCAATGAATTGAATTTTGAAGTTAACTTCTGCTAGGAATTCTCTGTGAAAGGCATAGCCCAAGGATTAGTTTGGATTTCAGTGCATGTAAGTAAAGTAACAAAGTTCCACGGTCACCTTAAAGTAAGGCATTTTACCTTTTAAGTGAGGATTAAGAAGTCAGCTGCCAAAGCACTATCATATGATTCTGACTCATACGAACTAAACAGAACGCAAAACAGGTATAGATGCCTCAAGTTACTAACCTGAAGCATAACTAGATTCTGAGCCTTCAGAGTACTACAAACGCAAGTATTTCATAATTTAGTGTCTTCAGCAGACACAGAAAGCTCAATTCTTGCTATTTACGGTGAATTGCCCATGCACTCAAATGAACTCACACGGTACATAAAGCACACAGACATACTCTGGGCTTTCATCTAACACTAAGATACTTTTAAGTCTTGTTTTAACAAATCATATTTTAATCCAATGCACACAGAAGATAGAGCAAGTGACAGAAGCTGACCTGCTGAAGCTGCCTGCTTGCTTTAGAGCATTCAAACACAAAAATAGACTCCCAAACCGTAGGGACTGAGGCACCCTAAAATTTGTTTTCCCTCCAGAGTTTTCTGGGGTTTTTTCCAGTAGCTGAGGCAGGCATATGTCAGGCACTTTTTCCCAACACAGTTCTACTAACGTGTTAAAACATGAATAAATTAACCAATGTGACTTAGGTTACTTACCTTTATCTGGATGATTCAGAAGCATGATTCGTCTATGAGCTTCTCTGATTTTACTTCTGTTTGCTGTAGGGCTTTAAAAGAGAGAGAAAAACTGACTTAAGGGAACCTCATAAAATCCCCCAGATCTTTAAGAGGAGTCTTAGAACAAGCAAGCTCTCTGTTTTATCCAGAAACCCTCTGGCTTACATGTATGTGCTTCTTTTGGTGTTACTGACGTGTAGCATCTAAGTCCTGGCAAGGGTTTCTAAGGTTTTTTCCAAACACTGTATGCTGAAAAGGACATGCTACAGCGGTCTAATATGGTGCAGGTCATTCACACAGTTGAAGAGAAACACAACTATGTTCTAACATTTTTATTGTGTCAACTTCCTAAAGGTTGGAGGACAACAAACAAAATTTGCTCTTGATTTAAAAAACAAAACAAAAACCCATAACACAACAATAAACTGTCTGTACACAAACTTCGGTTAGAAGTTGCCTTCAAACAGAAATGGTTCTTGTTCTCTATCTTATTAGATAAACTTGTGTATTTGGTCTTAAGTCTCTTTAAATTTGGGCAGGGCCAGCTACCATATTTGTATCTAGAGTAAGTGATGAATTTATTCCACATGCAAGGAGTGGGTCTGCAGCACCTTCACACTGCATCTATCTGAAATGCACCAGTGACATGAACCACAAGCAACCAGCCAAACTGTGTGCCCCAAGCTGAACAAACCCTGGGCTTCCTGAACATGGCGTATGTGGCTTTGGAATGTGCTAGGGATTTGCAGACGTACAGAAGTCCAGCTAGAGGTAGCTTTAAGCAAGCTAACATGCCACCAAGAATCCCAAATAAGTACAAAAAATCCTGACAGGCCACTTCTTTTCTCCTGACTTGGCAGTGACACTCCCAGAGAAAGCTGAGCATAGGACAGCCTTCAGCATTGAGAACTACAACCTACTCAATCTAGCCCAGCAACCAGGTAACACTGTGGCCTCCATTTCTAATAAATTTCCTTTTACCTCACTCCTAGTATTAAAGCTGCCTCTCGTTTAGTCATTTTAGGTTCAAATCCACCTCTGTAATAACCACTGAAGTCCTGAAAGAGAAAAGATGTTAGTTTAAAAAAAACATTAATTTTTAAGTTCATCAGTTAAAACAGCTCATTATTACATTAGTAGCTGCTGAGCTTTTAGTCTGTAAGAATACTGCAAAGCTTATTTTGAGCTTGTAATAAATACAGCTGAAGTAGAGGAGCATTATTTATATAAGTACTTACTCACCAAAACAAGTTCTCTATTAGTCAACCTCCACCAGAACTGCTGAGATTAATTCTACTATTACTGACAAAATTATGTTTAGCATTAGAAAACAGACCAATGCCACAGAGACAATAACCTGTAGTTATTTGACGAAGTAAACTTCTAAATAAAAAGATGCTTCTGATAAAACAAAAAACTTACAGGTTTTGGTAGGTTCTGAAGTGCTTGTTTTACTTGTGGCTCCATTTGTTTCATAGCTTTTAGTGCATAGCGACCTTAAAGAAATCAGTGTTGAACATGGCTAAGTGTAACGTTTCATAAAGATTTAGCAATTCAGGGCAACTGGTAACCTGTGGGCTAGAACAGGAATAAATTTGGGGATATAAAAAAATAATTACTTTGATCTTCTGTTTAATCACAGCCATGTTTCTCAATACAGGCTCTCCCAAAAGAGTATCCTCTATCAGCTATTAAACTACCTTAAAATTAATCCGTACTGAAGCAAGCAACGGTAAGTACAACCGGGCGTTCAGTGTTCTCCCACCATCTACAAACCTGCAAATCCAGCTGCTGCTATGGTCAGGCCAACCCCAACCGCCACCATTGTACTGGCCTACACAGGGAACACACAAAGTATCTGTTTACCGAAGGAAAAGACAAAAAGCCCACCTGGCAATCCCTGCAGCAGGTCAGCATATCCATTTAAAACCGCATGACTAGGGGAAATCGGTCATTATACTGCCAACTCCGACTGTGCTGCTGTAGGTGACCACAGGGGCGCGGCGACATTTGGCACAGCTGCTGCTGGCAGTGGAGCTGGGGCTCAGGCGCGCACGGGAGCGGCGGGAACCCCCCAGCTA